CCGACAGTGTGTCGGACGGGACAGCAGAACAAGGAAGGATAGTGGAGGAGGTCGCACGGACTGGACCCCAAGAGGGGCCTGCCAGGGAGACTGGAACCGGCCGACTGAGCGGCGTGAGGGTGGTGCTGTCGCGAAAGAAGGAGCGAGAAGCACCAGAGTCAAGTGTGAAGGTGTACAAGGCCTCAGCAGGCGCGGTACCAGAGAGAGCAGACTCACTAGCACCTGGAGCAGTAGCCTCACCAGTACCTAGAGCAGGAGACATACTAGCCCCTAGAGCAGCAGCCTCACCAGCAACTAGATCAGCAGGCTCTATACCTGGGTCAGGCGGTACGCACAGGTAACAGGCACGGTCAGCACTAGTAGGCAATGCATACATGGCAGTGAGAATGGCATCATATTCAAGAGCAAATATATCTACCCTCTGCCGAAGCAGCTCCACCCAGTCGGGGAGCTCAGCCTCGTCGCCAAACTCGGTACGCCAAGCGTCGCTCAGACGGGCGAAGCAGCGGGACTGTGTGTGACTGAGCGTCCCGCAAGCCTGACCAGTCCAAGCACCAGTGCGAATGACGTACGGGCAGCGAACGGTACTCAGATACCCTCTACTCTGAGCGTACCATTCACGAAGCTGCTGGGGCGTGCGAGACTCGCGCGGACGTCGCTGGAGCTGCATCTGGCCACCGCTAGTAGCAGCATCAGTAGTAGTAGCAGCAGTAGCAGTAATAACAGCAGTAGCAGTAGTAGCAACGCGGCCACCCCTACAACCCCAACTAGCGTACCACTCACTAAGTTGTTGAGGCGTGAGGGACTCACGCGAACGTCGCTGGAGCTGCATTTGGCCACTGTCAGTAGCAGCAGTAGCAGTAGCAATAGCAGTAGTAGCAGCAGCAGCGCGTCCAGGGCAGGCACGGCAGGCACGCAGGCAGGCAGGCCGGCAGGCAGGCAGGAGGCAGGCAGGCAGGCTTGCAAGCAGGCGGCATCGCACGAAGAAGGTAGGTGCTCACTAGTGGCAGGCAGGGCCGGCGCTCGGCGGGGCCGCAACAGCGGCTGCAGAGTAGGGCCGCGTCGGCGGTTGGGCAGGTCCGCGACAGCTGCTGTAGGGCGGGGCCGTGACAGCTGCAGGGCGGGGCCGCAACGGCGGCAAAAGGCTCCGCGGCAGCTGCTGCAGGGCGGGGCCGCGACCGTGGAAGGAGGCTCCGCGGCAGCTGCTGCAGGGTGGGGCCGCTACTACGGCAAAAGGCTCCGCGACCGGTGCTGCAGGGCAGGGCCGCGACAGCAGCAGGAGGCTCCGCGGCAGCTGCTGCAGGGCAGGTCCGCGACTGTAGTAGGGCGCTCCGTGGCAGCTGCTGCAGGAGCGACGGTGGCAGTCAGGCAGGGGCGGCGTCCAGGGGAAGCCACGGGGAACAGAGGCAGCCGCGGCGCGCGAGGCTGCAGCGCGCTGCGCGTGCTGCGAGCGCGGCGCGCGGGGCTGCAGCGCGACGCGCTAAACCCTAAACGCGGCGCGCGGGGCTGCAGCGCGACGCGCGGGCAGCGAACGCGACGCGCGGGGCTGCAGCGCGACGCGCAGGCAGCGGGCGCGACGCGCAGGGCTGCAGCGCGACGCGCAGGCAGCGGACGCGACGCGCGGGGCTGCTGTGCGACGCGCGGGCTGCGGACGCGACGTGCGGGGCTGCAGCGCGACGCGCGGGCAGCGGGGCGTCGCGTGGGGCAGCGACCTGGCCTGACGGGCCTGCAGGGGCGGCTCGCTGGCCTGACGGGCCTGCAGGGGCGGCTAGCGGGCCTGACGGGCCTGCAGGGGCGGCTAGCGGGCTTGACGGGCCTGCAGGGGCGGCTAGCAGGCCTGACAGGCCTGCAGGGGCGACGCTCTGGCCTGACGGGCCTGCAGGGGCGGCTCGCGGACCTGACGGGCCTGCAGGGACGGCCAGTGGGCCTGACGGGCTTGCAGGGGCGGCTAGCGGGTCGTACGGGCCTGCAGGGACAGCGCGCTGGCCTAGGGCAGCAGTAGGCAGCGCGAGGGCTGCAGGACGGCGCGCGCAGCGCAGCACGTCACAAGGCGAGGCAGGCAGGCAGGCAGACGCACGTGGGGTAGCGTGGTAATCGCAACGGTAGGTGGGCTCGAAAAAAAAACGGTCCTACGGACCTAGTGCTCTGAAACCATGTTAGAATCTTGCAGCAGGAATAAGTGCATTGAACAGAGATGTGGGTACATATGCTAACCCTAATTTGGGTTGTACCCCTTATGGGCTACCCCACTACAGCCTACACAGCACTAGCATTATCATAGTTTGACAAGCAGTGGCTCCTGCAGGGGAATGGGAGAAGAAAGGAGCAGGATCTTAGGGTATGATATGGAATCATAAGGTGGTGTGATGCACGAGAAACAAGTTTGACTTGTTAGGATCACTTAAATTCACCATGAGTGCCTGTGCGTATGGGTGTGGGTGTGGGTGTGTGGTGTGAGTGCGTTTCTGCATGTCTACGTATCTGCATACGCATTAAGAGCCTCCATATTATAAGGGAAAAGCAGAGCGTGGCTCTTATACACCACGACCTCGCTGTCCGAAAAATCCTGTATGACGTCTCCAGCATCCTCCTCCGTGTATGCAAACGGCCTCCCATTGGTTTGCACATAGTCATTGACTACAGGCAGCGTAGAGCTGGCCTACTACTGGGAAGACGAGCCAGAGATGTTCCACGTGACACCGTGCAAAGGAGAGTATGTCATCCAGAGCGGCTGCCCCTCCAGTGAAGGAAGCTCCCATGGCCCGCCAGATGAGTACTGCTTGTAGGACAACGGGGAGGGGGGGGGGGGGGGGGGGTAGGGTGGGGGTGAGGTGAATACGGAGACAGGAGGATGGATAACATTCATTTCCATCAAATATTGTAAAAAAAAAACGGCTCTACTACTAGTTGTGCTACCATACGCGGCATGATTCACGGATTGGAGTGATGAGTGACTCACGAAAAAAAAAAAAAAAAAAAACTCGTGACGTTCTTCAACCCTCATATAAGAGAATCCAACGGAGTCTCAACTTCACTTCAGAGGCTCACCTTCTGCGTCGCGACGGAGGGCGAAGGGAACTTCCAGATGCGTGAACATACAAATGTGTCATTCACTGCTGTCCACTGTGGTCCAGTGCGGTCCAGACATGAAAAATATCAACTTATATATCATAGGCTCACCTTTGTCAGTAGATCTGCACTGTGGATGCCTGATTGATCATGGAGAGGGTTACAGGCGCGTTCGCCTGGGGGGTTATGGGCGCACTGACCCGCTACTGAAACAAGCCATTTTATCCCAATGGTCTAGTGGTTGGGATTCTGACAAACTTCTGCGTCGTGACGGAGGGGGGAATGTAATGCTTCAAGATGTGAAACTTCAAGAGACCCGACAACACTTTGGTGATAGCAGGGGAGAATAAGCTCGGTGCGACGGAGCCCCACTTTTCCGGCGAGCTGTTGGCTATATTCAGGAGCGAGAGCGCGTCTGCGATCGCCTGGTTGTACTTGCGCGTCGTGTTGTCAAGCCTGGCATAGGTTCCCGCCGAGGGAATCTCGTCGGACCGCGGGACGAGTATCGTCACTCCCGAGATGTCTTTCGTGTCGTCCAATGCAAACAAGCGCTCCATGAGTGTACTGAACGTCCGTCGACTTCAGGGCTGATATCAAATCGCTCACGGGCATGGCGTGGGTGGCTGTGAGCAGCTGGGAGAGCAGCGCCACAAGCAGCAGTGCCACGGAGGCGCCAAATATCTGCAAGGTAAAACGTCCGGCCACTCCGGTTGTCTTTGAGCAGAAGCGGGTGCGAGATATCCCTTGTTACCACACACCGTAATTCTTAGAGGTACTTGGGAAATGAAGAGTGTCTAGCATGAGGAGAGAGGGAGGAAAAGAGAGATGGCGATTGCGGGAACGATGAATCTTTGCAGGAGAAGTTTGATGGGGAAGAAGAAATTAGGAGACCTTTTATGCTCGAGAGAACCACCACCCCAAGTCGTGGAGGATGGAAGGAAGCATTTTTGCTTGATGCACAATGCGCGATGCATTCGCGGCGAATCGCGAGCCTTCGATTAAAGCTGCGGTCTACATACCTCAAGCGGGAGGCAAAGGTTTATCACTAGGAAACAGAGTAACACTGTCCCCAAAAGTACCCCTTTGCGGAGAAACGAAAAGTCGAGGCGGAACGAGGGAGGGGGGTGGGGGTGAGCCGAAACAAGTTCGCCAGATTAGAACTTGACCCGCATGATGGTTTGTAGACCAAAACTCAGCGGATGATGGTTGCCAAAGCTCACTCGATAGACCCCTAGTTGTGATTCCGGAGATTATAGTCGCCACGAAATGAAACCTGCTTCCGGTACCTACTACACCTCGATCGCAATAGCGATTTAGGCCGCATCAGCCGCGGATTACCAGCGCAGTCGAACACACCTTCGCGTTCTGCCCTATACTCGTGGCCAGATATCAGAGTGCCGCCTCGCCTAACAGTCATCGTTAGGAAAATTTGTCGCCTAACCACGGTGGTTCACCTCCTTGCCTCATCGCCTAAGATATTTTTGCCTCGCCTTTAATCAGCTGGTCTCGTCGCCGGATATCTGCTCGCCATATCGCCGCGTTCTCCTCTATTCTGAGCCGCGAGCTTTACCGTCGTCCTCTCGCTTTCTAAGTGGCGTTCCCACCAAGCTCATGTTCCTGCTTTCAGTGTTGCGGTCCACTCCTCATATCGCTTTAGCTCCAGCTTTTGAACACAGTGGTACTAAAGACTGACAGGCGAAATTATATTCTCCGGGTGCGAGACGGGATTCAGAATAAGAGAATACGTAACACAAACTGAAGTCTGCAGCGAGGAGGTGCGAGCCGCGGACGGGAATGAGTCGCGATATCGCGCGAGTGGCGGTGGGGTGTGTCCCGCGTTTACGTGCGGGGCGCGCGCTGGGAGCTGCCGCGATTACGTGAGGCGAGCGGCCGGGTGTGAGCAGCGACGCGGTCTGGCGACGCGGACGGGAATGACCACCGACGACGCGGAGGTGCGGGGGGGATGGGAGCGAGAATTTGCGACAGGGTAAGCCGCGATATGCGAGGGAGGTCGGATGCGAGCAGGCGCGGGGGGACAGCAAGCGAGCAGAGGCGGGGAGATAGCATGCGAGTAGGCGCGGGGGAATAGCAAACGAGCAGAGGCGGGAGAAAGGCATGCGAGCAGGCGCGGGGGAATGGCAAGTGAGCAGGCGCGGGGGGTTAGCATGCGAGCAGGCGCGGGGTGATAGCACGCGAGCAGGCGGGGGGGGTGAGCGTGCGAGAAGGCGTGGGAAATAGCAAGCGAGCAGAGGCAGGAGAAAGGCATGCGAGCAGGCACGGGGGGGTAGCATGCGAGCCTTGTCATCCTCCTCGCTTTTGTGCCATGCCACCCACCTTCATTGAACACGTGCCCTGTCCTCACGCTTTCATTGCCTATGTGGGCAAGCCCCAGGTTTTCCCTTCCCTTTCCCTATTCCCCAACAGCAACTTCCCTTCTCTCCTCATGTTCCTGTTGTTGTCTCGCCATAGGCTTGCCATCATCCCGCTCTCCCAATTCCGCAGTCAACCATATCCCTCCCTGTTCATGAGATGGAGGTGTGGCGCAGGGGCAAAGCGCTGTCTCGTATGGTAATCACCTCGTTAGAGAGCCAGCCACCCCCATATTTCCCCCCTGCTTATTCTTTGTTTCTCCCTGCTTACCCTTTGTTTCTCCCTGCTTACCCTTTGTTTCCCCCCCGCTTACCCCTTGTTTCCCCCCTGCTCGCTCTTCCCTCCCTGCTCTCTCTTCTCTCCCTGCTCTCTCTTTCCTCCCTGTTCTCTCTTCCCTCCCTGCTCTCTCTTTCTTCCCTGCTCTCTCTTCCCTCCCTGCTATCTCTTCCCTCCCTGCTCGCTCTTCCCTCCTTGCTCTCTCTTCCCTCCCTGCTCTCTCTTCCCTCCCTGCTCTCTCTTCCCTCCCTGCTCTCTCTTCTGTGGTGCAGCTCATCAGGCATGAAGCAACCAAGCAGACAAGTTAGTTAGATTTAGGATAGTGTGATGTGGGCCCTTGCCATACCATAACATCACAGGAGCTAGTTATTTACAAAATACAATAGGTTTGATATATACAATGATGATATCATTGGTCATGTGTGGGTATTTGTAATGATCCCCCATTTGCAACGCTGATGGGTGTGGAGAAAATAAATATGGTACATAACTTGATTATAAGACAACAGCCTTTGTCCACTCGTATTGTCGCCTCCGCACACATGTTGGCTAATTAGCCCTGTAGTGCCCATGCTGCTGCTATCACCCCAGCTGCAGCAGCAAGTTGGAGGCCCAAGCAGGAGGGAAGGAGGGGTGGATGAGTGGCGCGTGTGGTGGCAGGGCGAATAGAGAGTGCCATAGTGCCCAGCATCCACTCGCCCCACGGCGCTTGTGGTAGCGGGGCGCCCATGTCCTCCCCTCCATGGCGCCCTGCTACCTTGCTGCAGCCTGCACAGCACACTTAGCAGAGCACGCGGGGAAAAGAGGAGAGTGGCAGAGCATTGGCAGGGCATAAGGAAAGCAGAGGGAAAGGAATGCGAAGGAGAGTGAAGAAGTGGGAAGGAGAGGGAAAGGTGTGGGAAAAGATGTTGGAAATGGGGATTAAAGGGGGGAAAAGGAGTGGCCAATAAAGGGTAAAGAAGGGGAAAGGAGTGACCAATAAAGCGGAAAGACGGTAAGACTGAGGCTGAAAGGAGGGAATATGGTAAGTAGGGGAGGAAGAAGGGAAATGGGGGGAAGGGAAATGGGGGGACGGGAATAATTGGGGACGGGAAGTGGGGGGAAGGAAAACGGAGTGAAGGGAAACGGGGGAATGGGAGACGGGGGAAGGGAAATTGGGGGAAGGGAAATGGGGGGAAGGGATACGTGGTGAAGGGAAACGAGGGGAGGACGGGCTGAAGGAGGAGAGGAAGGGCGTACAGAGGGGAGGACAGGAGTGAGAGAGGAGGACAGGAGAGAGAGAGGAGGACAAGAGATTGAGAGAGGACAGGAGAGAGAGAGAGAGAGAGAGAGAGAGAGAGAGAGAGAGAGAGAGAGAGAGAGAGAGAAGGACAGGAGAGAGAGAGGAGGACAGGGGAGAGAGAGGACAGGAGAGAGAGAGAGAGGAGGACAGGAGAGAGAGAGAGAGAGAGAGAGGAGGACAGGAGAGAGAGAGAGAGAGAGAGAGAGAGAGAGAGAGAGAGAGAGAGAGAGAGAGAGAGAGAAGGACAGGAGAGAGAGTGAGAGAGGAGGACAGAAGAGAGAGGAGGACAGGAAAGAGAGAGAGGAGGACAGGAGAGAGAGAGAGAGAGAGAGAGAGAGAGAGAGAGAGAGAGAGAGAGAGAGAGAGAGAGAGAGAGAGAGAGAGGAGGACAGGAGAGAGAGAGAGAGGACAGGACAGGAGAGAGAGAGGAGGACAGGAGAGAGAGGAGGACAGGAGAGAGAGAGAGAGAGAGAGAGAGAGAGAGAGAGAGAGAGAGAGAGAGAGAGAGAGAGAGAGAGAGAGAGAGGAGGACAGGAGAGAGAGAGGACAGGGGAGAGAGAGGAGGACAGGGGAGAGAGAGGAGCGGGGGGGGGAGGACAGGGGGGGGAGAGGATGGCGTGGGTGGGAGGAGGACAAGGGGGGGAAAGGATGAAAGGGGGGAGAGTGGAGGACAGGGGGGAGAGAGAGGGACGGAGCATGAGGGAGGTGTGCAAGTCAGGTGTGCTAGGAATGGGCAGCGGAGAAGGGAATTGGAGGGATGAGGAGAAAAGCGCAGGTTCGTGTGAGTGCAGTTGAGTGCGAAATGCACTTCCCTCCCTAAACGCGCACTCGCCACGCCTCTGCCCCTTGCACCCACGCTGCTGCCACGGGACTACTGCCACATCACTCACCACGCACGCACTCACCACTACTGGGGGGCGGAGAGGAAGAGGTTCGGAGGGATGAGGAAAGGAGATGCGCGCGTGACTGGGCACATCTCGCGCACCTCGTCAAACGTGCAGCTGGCGGTTCCGTGGCGGTCACGAGGCTGCAGAAGAAGGTGGCAAAAAGGGGGAGGGGGGAAACCAAGAGAAAGTAGTGGGGAAATGCGGAAGATAAAAGTGAAATGAGGGGAAGGAGGGATGGGAATGAGGGCATGGAGGGGGGAAATGGGGGGAAGGCAGGGGAGACATGAGGAAAAGAAGGGAGAGAGGGAAGAGAGGAGATAGAATGAGCTGAGAGAGGGTTGGGGGGATGGGAAGATGGGGGTGAGGGACGGGAGGAGATTGGAGGAGGAGGTGCGACCTGGGGGGAAACTGAAACAGGGCTACGGCGCAGCGACGCACGGCGCGGCTGGCCTGACCGGCCTAGTGAGGAGAGAGCGGCGCCGTAGCTAAGAAAGTAGAAAGAAGGAACGTCGCAGCGGAATAGTGAAAGCTAGGCTAGAGATAGAAGCCTGGCTTCAGAGAAGAATACGAGAGAGATGAGGGAAGAATCTTGGATTAGAATAGAAGAAAGATGATACAACAAGAATATGAGAGGAGATATTTATGCTAGGAAGAATGAGTGCGGCTCGGGAGGAAAGCCCGTATCGCCACGCTTTCAGCATGGCATCTTGGCATAGCGCCTTGATGCCATGCCCTATTGGAATCTAAGGTATGACGGGGATGGGAGAGTGTTCTCGAGGCTAGCAAGTGCAGAGTTCGGATCTAGCTAAGAGATACAACTTCTCTCCCATTCGAAGATTCCCATGCATGCTAGCATGGCGAATCCCGTTCTGTTACAGAAACGGAGGTGCGACCTGGGGGAAAACGGAGGTGCGACCTGGGGGGAAACGGAGGTGTGACATGGGGGGAAAGGGAGGTGCGACCTGGGGGAAAACGGAGGTGCGACCTGGGGGGAAACGGAGGTGCGACCTGGAATGGCTGCTACTCTGTACTCGCCTAGCAGAGATCGCGGCTGCGAGTGTGGTGGCGTGGAAAAGGCGCTACGCCACGCGCACATGGAGAGAATCGCGACTGTGAGCGGGGTGGCTTGAAACAGACGGTAAGAGTGACGTTACGAGCGGGAATCGTGGCTCCCAGCGTGGTGGCTCTTTGCGGGAGGCGAGCGGGGATCGTGGCTCTTTGCGGGAGGTGCGAACTGGGGGAGAGGCGAGAGGCCTCTTCGAATCGGCGTGGCGGCAATGAGGTGGCGGGGTAACGGCGGAGGTGACACGGCCAGGATGGTATGCGATGGGGTACGCGACTTTGGCGAGGGGGAAAGAGGGTGTGGAGGATGCGCACTAAAGGCGGCGTGGCGCGTAGGGAGCGACGTTCGCGATACGGCGTGTTGGTAGCGAGGCTGCCCCGTGGCGACAGGTTCGCTCACATGGCGACGCGACGAGGGCGGATTGGGCGGTTCGGGGTTAGCGTGCCTAAAGTCATGCATCACCAAAAAGTTGAGGTCCTAAAACCATATCTTCTAAAGTGCCATCTCGGAAGTCTCTTTGAACTGTCCCAAATGTGTCTCTGCTCCCGAAAGAGGCAATCGGGACAGTGTACAGTGCTTCCTGGAACTGTCCCATCCCAAATCTGCCCCTACAAGTGCCGCGTTTTTGCCAAACTCTAAACTGTCTTACACGTGTGAAATGTCCTAGTCATTGCAAAAGTTAGTAGACCGAAAGTTTAAAGGTCCGATTCCCAGCATTGTTGCAATTGTCTTCTCGTAGGTTTTCCTCGCAAATTTGTGACCCACTGCTACACATCGTGCTTGTTGGTAACAACTAGTTGTAGTTAGTTGTCGTAAAAAACATGCATATTTCGTAATGATTTGTTTTTTTAGAAATAGACTAAAATGATTTTGTGAATAATTACAGCTACGAATTAAACTAATAATAACTGATATTATGATCAACACACTAGCATTATCGTAACATTATTGTGGGTAGTATCGGAAAAAAAATATCTCATATACTTCAGTTTACATGCAATTCGGTTAGGTCAGGTTATTGATTTTCATTATATCGAGTACGGTTCGAAATAAAAATTGATGAAACAATTCCCGTCGGCAATTTTCGCAAATTTCGTCCTCCCCCCCCCCCCCCCCCCCCCCCCCCCCCCCCCCCCCCCCCCCCCCCCCCCCCCCCCCCCCACCAAAACAATCGATCGAGGTGGGAGGGGAGGCGAAACTCTCGCCAATTTCGATAGTCCCCCCTGACCGCATCTAATTTTAAAAGAACCCAACCAAACCACATCCTTACCCAGCCATGCTACCTGACAGCATTCAACTAGAACCCTCTGCCATTTTTCTCAGTTATACGTGTACCACTTTTGTATCTGCCGTTGTTCTAAACCATTTCCAGTAACTTTCATACACTACTCGTTACATTCGCCCTAGATCTTGCCCATAACTTAGATGGATAATAGGCATCTGCCAACCGTATGATAACACCTATTTTTCCCGCTACCCGCTCCTCCGTTCCCCCCATCGCCCCGCGCAGGCGCCGCCGTTTCCCCCATCACCCCACTCCGCGAGTTGAGCTTCGCATAGCAGCATGCCGCAACTGGTTCGGGTTGCAAAGGTCTATCGTGGGCGGATGATGCTGCCTGTGGGCGATCGCGGCTCCACTGGTGACGGAAGCAGCGCGGATAGCTGAGGGGATCAATGGAGGCGACGGCGAGGTGAGGGCGTGTGATGTGGCGGTCAGATTGAAGAAAGGATGACAATGAAGGTATGTCAACATTTTCGTTTAGATACCCTGTGCTTTCTTGTCACCAGAATATTGGTAAGCTGCCCCGGAAAATGTTACGTTGCTATTTTAAAATAACGAGGAAACCTCTAATGCGTTCGTTTTATTGTACAAAAACTGTAGTTTTAATAATGCGGAAGTGCATAGTACAACCACATGTCCAGCACAGCGAATCCCGAACCGCCTAAACCCGAATCGCTCTAAAATGGGATTGGTCCACGATGCATCCCCAATCTATCACGAATGTGTCCCAGAAATGTTCCTCAAGAGTCTTGGGGGCTCGTGGCAAAGAGTCTTTCAGGACAAATTTGGGTCTCCCGAAACTGTTCCGTAGTTGTTTCCGAAAGACTTTTTGGGGATGGGGGTCAAATCTGTCCCAAAAATCTCTTGGGGGATGGTTTTTGGACGGTTTTGGGAGCTGGTATTAGGGAGCAGTGCTCCCTCCATGGTCTAAAGCGGCTACTCTTAGACATCAACTTACGCGCCCTATCGACACAGTGGCTTCGAACCTGCTGTGCTCTGTTCGCCACAGTCGCCTATTTTATTCAGCGCGGATCGTGCTGGTTTAGGCTTGCATGCGCGTGATGAAAGGTTAGTAAGTAGGTTGTTGTGAAGGGCGTCGACGTGAAAGCACTCACAGGTTTAGAACTTGGAGTGTTTGGTTACGCGCTGCTGTTCCTTCCCCTCCGCCCTTTCTTCCGCCACTTCCAACCTTCCGCCGTTCCTTCCCCCAACCCAACCCTTTCACGACATGTGGTTGGGCTCGCCATCCTTGTGAGAGTTCATCGCACTGGTGATTGCGGAAGACATTCACTTCGCGATCCAATGAACACACGCCAAAGGGTTAGCACTACAAATGCCCCCCAAAACCCCTCGAAGTATGTAGACTGCAGCTTTAATCAAGAAAGTCTCAGAATCCCAACCACTAGACCATTGGGATAAAAGGGCTTATTTCAGTAGCGGGTCAGTGCGCCCATAACCCCCCAGGCAAACGTGCCTGTAACCCTTCCCTAGGATCGATCGGGGATCACCAGTGGACCTCTGACACCCCCCCGCACTGGGATGCCCGAAGTGCATACACCGGGATTCGAACCCGAGACCTTCGCTCTGATACCATCTCAGAATCCCAACCACTAGACCATTGGGATAAAAGGGCTTATTTCAGTAGCGGGTCAGTGCGCCCATAACCCCCCAGGCAAACGTGCCTGTAACCCTTCCCTAGGATCGATCGGGGATCACCAGTGGACCTCTGACAGAAAGTGCTTGAAATTTGCCGTTGATCATAAAGTCCTGCCTGCCTCGCTGAAGCCTTGCCCTGTCAGCACTGCACAGTCGCCCGCCCGGACCTCTCCACATCATTGACTTGAATTGAACAGAGCGGGGCAGCGCAGCCGGGGAACCAAAAACAGCGTAATTGGGGGCCGCATTCCCGATTGGCCGTTCGTCATCCTGCTGGCACAACGCTTGACTTCGACCACACGCACAAGGAATCTGCATCCCTACAAACCAGCCCGGCTGAATTTAAGACGTTAAAGACCTCAAATAAAAAACAGTAAAGAATTCATCAACAATTTATACATTCTACAATGCACACTAGGCAAGCCTAGATGCATCTCTTGAGTAGAAAGTTGATCTGAAAAACTCAAGACACTTGCAAATCCATGCGGACTGCATTACATCTCGGAGAATAGAAGCGGGTGGGCGAACACACACTAGGAACATGGCCGCAGACACTACAGCAGAAGCCGCTGTGAATGCAGACTGCAGTAGCTGGAGAGTCGGCCCTTGCAACTGGGACCTGAGGTGAAGAATGGAGTGGGAAGGCATTAGGAGAAACAAGTGAGAACCAGGTTAACTTTTGATACATTCAGGGGCAAAGAGCAGCGTGTCATACTCGCCCCTCTCAAGATATTATAGGCGTGAGAGGCGGCGGCGGTAGCAGAAGCGCAGCGAGCGATAGAAGTGGATTGCCAGCGTGGGGTAAGAGCCATGCATACCCGCATGCACACACATGGGGGAACAAAAGCAGAACACACAAACACGATGTTCTCACACGCCTTGCAGCCAGCCAAGCAACACACCCCTGGAAACCGCAATGCACCGCACAAGGAGTCGGGCGGTGACCAGCCGTTGACGTATCGCGCAAAGAGCAGCGCATTGTACTCGCCACCTTCAAGGTAGTAGAAGCGCGAGAGGCGGCGGCGGTAGCAGAAGCGCAGCGAGCGATAGAAGCGGATGGCTGCAGCGTTGTATGTGACCACGTGCAGGTAGACGGCGGCGCAGTGCGGGAGGAAGGAGGCATGAGAGAGTAGGAGATGAACCAGGTGTGATGCTGTGGGGGAAGGGGGGCGGGAAGAAGAGGGGCAGTTGGTGGGAGGGAAGGGAGGGGGTGACAAACAGGCTGCTGAGAGGGAAGGGGAGGAGGCATGGGAGAGTAGGAGATGCACCAGTTGCGATGCTGTGGGGAAGAGAAGAGAGGCAGGTGGTAGGATGGGAGGGGAGGGGTGACAAAAGCTTTTGAAGTAGCAGGCAGAGAGAGGAGGCGTGGAGAGAAGCAGATAAGAGATGCACCAAGTGGGATGCTGCGAGTGCAAGGGGACGAGGAGAGGTACACGATGGAAGGACGGCCAGATTGACAATTGCGATGCTGGGAATGACAATTGCGATGGTGGGAGAGAGGATGTAGACGAGAGACAAAGGAGAGGTCACCGGATCAATTCTTGAGGGGCCTCAAAAAGAGAGAATCTGAAGAAAGGCTATGCTTACCCACGCCAGCCTTGCGGTAGCGCTTGGAAACACCGAGCGTGAGAATGTAGAGGAGCGAGGGTGATGGAGTGTGGAGGGGCGATGGAGGAGTCAGAGGAAGCACGTCCGCGCCCTGCGTAGGGAGAGGGTGATGATGGGAGGGGGAGAGACAAGTGCAGGAGAGACGAGCGTGGGGGAGGCGAGTGTGGGGGAGGCGAGTGTGTGGATGTAGAGGAGTGAGAGTGATGGGGTGTGGTGGGGCGACGGAGGAGTCAGAGGAAGCACGTCCGCCCTTTGAGAGGGAGATGGCGGGAGGGAGGGAGGTGAGTGTGAGGGAGAGCGTGTGAGGGAGAAGTGTATGAGGGAGAAGTGTATGAGGGAGAAGTGTATGAGGGAGAAGTGTATGAGGGAGAAGCGAGTGGGGGAGGTGAAGGCAAGTAGAGAGAGAGGGGGGAATGCAGACAACACAGCAAGTTTTTGAATTGACTCAGAAATAGAGTAGGCTGCACACCCCCATGCTGCACTACCCCATGCTGCACTCCCCCATGCTGCACTCCCCCATGCTGCACTACCCCATGCTGCACTACCCCATGCTGCACTCCCCCATGCTGCACCACCCCATGCTGCACTCCCCCATGCTGCACTCCCCCATGCTGCACTCCCCCATGCTGCACACCCCCATGCTGCACACCCCACCCCCTTCTTTCCACACTGCACCTGTGCCTTTCCAGGCGGAACCAGGCATGCAGTGATGAACCCCACCCCGGTCAGGCTTGCAGGGGCCCACTGCGCCCCATGAGATAATGGCACCATCCCCACCCCCCCCTCCTCTCTCTCCCCCTTTTTCTCCATCCCCCCCCGTGCCACACTGCGCCTGCGCCTCCGCAGGCGGCACGAGGCGCGCAGTGATGAACCCGGCTGGCAAGGGTCCACCGCACCTCATGAGATGATGCCCCAGTGATGCACCCACCACCACCCCACCCATGCACACATCCGTAACCCTGATACGCCATGCGCCCTGCACACACCTGCGCCTCGGCAGGCGGCACGAGGCGAGCAGTGATGAAGCCCACCAGCCGGTCCGGCTGGCAAGGGTCCACTGCACCCCACGAGATGATGCCCCGATGGTGCACCACATTGGAGTAGAACTCCGACTCGTACCTGATGGAATAGGGGGGAGGGGGAGATGGGGGGGAGAAAGGGAAGGGGGTGCGGGGCAGATTGGGTATGAACGGGGTAGCTTGCTGCTGGCAAGGGTCCACCGCACCCCATGAGATGATGCCCCTGTGATGCACCATGCTGGAATAGAACTCCGACTCGTACCTGATGGAAGAGGGGGGAGGGGGAGATGGGGGCGCCAAGGAGAGCATATGGGGAGGTGAGTTTAGGTCCACTGCGCCCCACGAGATGATGCCTCGATGGTGCACCACGTTGGAATAGAACTCTGACTCGTACCCGATGGGAAGGGAAGGAGGAGGCGAGGAAAGGGGGGAGCGGAGGAGGGAAGGAGAGCTTAGGGCGAGGTGATGTCTGTCACACGATTTCTGTCTGTTTATTTTGCGACAGGAAGAGTCTTACGCGATGAGACCCGCCATGTCTTACATGTAAACGTGCCTTATCCGCCATGTCTCGTAGCATAAGTTGCTCGCACGTCTATGTGTCCCGCCACGTGTTAATGGGTGGACACATAAACGTGCGACTTTTGAGTCGACTCAAAAGTCACCTCAGTAAGTTGGCTCGCACGTTTATGTGTCCCGCCACGTTTATATGGGTGGACACATAAACGTGCGAGCAATTTACGCTACAAGCAAGTGACAGAATGAGTTGGCGAGTTGGTGAGTGAGTTGGCGAGTGAGTGAGAGTTCAAGGTGTGCAGAGTGTGTGGGAGGTCTTACGCGATGGGGAAGGTGGCTTCATGGAGGGCCTTGAGATCACCCATGTCCCCTGGGGTGATGGCGCGATAGGCCACACTGGGGAGAGAGGAGGATGAGCAGGATGAGGAGGAGGGCGGATGGGATAGTACCTGCTGCTGGTGCTGCTGCCGTTGCTGGTGGAGCTGCTTCTGCTGGTGCTGCTGGTGGTGCTGGTGCTGACAGCATGTGCAGTGAGTGCAATGCTGGCAACAGCGATGCACATGGTCATGTGGATGGTTGACATGGTTAGGGGACAGCTTGTGGGCAGGACGAGGGGACCCAGGCCTTTGAGGCGACTCAAGAGTGGGGCGAGGGGAGCCAGGCCAAGGGCGAATAAAGTCAAGCCAAGGAGTTGACTGGCATGCGCTCACACTGTCTGGGTTGCCCTGACAGGACCTTTGAGGTGCCTCAGGACAGGGATGGGCGAGATAGATATGGGATTGACAGGTATGGGATTGGTAGGCACGGGATTGACAGGAATGGGGTTGACATGTCTGGGGTTGAAGGGTATGTGATTGACAGGCATGGCAATGAAGGGTGTGGGACTGACAGGGATATGGGCATGGATGGTGCATGTAGCTAAACTGACAGGCGTTGTGTGACACATGGTGGGAAGGTGCAACCGGAGGGGCAGAATGAGAGCGAACAGAATGAGAAGGGGTGTGAGTTGGGCATGTGGCAGCGGGGCAGCAGGGCAGAGGGGGGGTTAGCGGCGCTGGCGCTGGCGCAGTGGAGGTGGTGAGGGAGAGAGGAGGAACCACGGGCGGAGGCGATAAGGAAAGGCCGGGATGGGATGGGTGGGTGGGAGTGGGAGTGGGGGAGAGGCTGCGGAGGTGGAGGAGACAGGAGGTGGACGCACACGAAAGGAGCTCTGCAGGAGAGGTGTGGGGGGGCGATGCACCTTGCATGCAACCACCATTCATTCCACCACCGTCCACCCCTCCACCATGCATCCCTGCTCCATTCAACCCTGCACAGTTCACCCATGCGCCATTCATTCCTCCCCCATCCACCCCTGCACTGATCATCCCCCCACCATGCACCCCTAGAGGATCCGCCTCTAGAGTTCGCATCAGCGCCGCATCCCATCCCTCGGGGTGCCTGTGAAGGGACGGCGATAGCTCCGCCACGTGGCGCGCTGCCATTGGAGCGCCACCGCCATCAGCACTCTCCACAGTATCAAAACTCGTCCCCCCTGAAGCACGCTGCTGCTGCTGCTCTCTAGGCGCCTCAAAAGCCGTCTCAGTCTCCCCATAGGAATGCAAAAAGTCCGGTTGAGAGTGCGTGGACAGGGCAGAGTACCCCCCTTGCTGCTGCCACCGACCAAACCCGTGCTGCTGTTGAGGCGCCTCAAAGGCCGTCTCAGTCTTCCCATAGGAACGCTCCAAGTCCGGTTGAGAGTGCAACGGCAGGGAAGCGTACCCTTCTTGTTGCCTCTGCCAAGCACATCCCTGCGGGCCTGCTGCAGACCCCTCAGAACTTGTCGCCACTGAAGCATACTCCTGCTGCTCTAGAGGCGCCTCAAAGGCCGTCTCCCCATACGAATGCGGAGGCGGTAGAGAGGGCAGGGCAGAGTACCCGTCCTGGTGGCGCCATGCACACTGCTGCCGATCTTAACGCGCCTCAAAGGCCGTCTCTCCGTACGAATGTTTTGAGGGCGGTAGAGAGGGCAGGGCAGAATAGATCCCCTGTGGCTGATGCAAGGGATCATGCTTCTGTATCCTACTCCGCTGCGGTCCTTCTTGAGACGGTGCTTGCATCCCTATAGGCGGACGATCGTGAGATTGTTGTAACCCTGTTACACAAACCCTGATCTCAGGCAAACTGCATGCTGCATGGCGAACTGCTCCCCCCTCGCTTGTCCCCGCTATAGCATGAGTAGCTACACTACATCTTGTCTCTATACTGTTTCTAACACAGTTCTCTGTACTCTCTGAATCTCTGAGCGAGTCTGATAACCTAAGCCCTCTGGTCCTATCAGAAACCCAATCGATCTCGTATGAATATTCCCCATCCCTACCTCCCTCTCGTGCTCTACCACTCATGCGACCTTCATCTCCCTCCTTACCACCCACTCCAACCCCATTGCACCACGCATCACCCCTGTAAGAATCTGCCCCCGAGTCATGCGTCCCCCCTCTCCCCGCGCCATCCCCCTCCTCGCAGCAGCTGGTGAATTCGTTGGCGGGCCGCCACGCGTTGACGTCATTCCGCCGCATGCTGACGTGGCGGCTGCCATCCACCTGCCGGCTGAAAAGGGGTCATTGTAAAGAAAGAAGTGAAATCATATTAGTGCAAAGGGGTATTTTGAGGTTTCTTGAAATTCGCAAAAACGAAGCGGAATGCTTCGCCTGCCTTCGCCTACTAGTTACACCGCATGTCGAACTTCGCAATCTTACCCTCCCGTTCGGAAATCGAGCCCACTTGCAGAACAGCGCCATCACTACTCCTTCGCCTACTTTGCCTGGATGCTGTACCGCTTCTTGAACTTGAGGAGTTAATCTAAAAAAATGCCCAGCTCAGACAACACGATAAGTACAACTTCTGTTGAAATACTTGCGTAGCTGCGCCAGCTCTACTCCTTCGCCTCCTTAGTTTCTTTTGCTTCTTTTGCGTCCTTTGCCTGGATGTTGTACCGCTTGTTAAACTTTGCGATGAGTGGCGTCAGCATCAGCAGCAGGGGCAGGAGAGGCACCAGAGGTGAGGTCAAAGAGGGAGAGAGCGTATGCCCTATCGCACTGTAGGAAAAGTTGCAGGTCATCTACCCAGACGTCAAAGTCAATGGCCCGACCCTCAGCGTCAAAAGCGAGGACACTAAGGGTAGCCATGACAGAAGTAGACTAGTAGCGCGAACAGTGGGGTAAGGGCAGTGCAGTGACAGAGGCGCTGCTCTTACCGGACAAGGCGGCTTGGGCGGCTCGGCGGCTCAGCAGGAACTGCAGCTCGGCGGCTCGGCGACTCGGCGGCTCGGTCGGCTCGGGCGGCTCGGCGGCAGCTGCGGCCCAGCGACTCGGCAGCTTGGGCGGCTCGGGCGGCTCGGCGGTACGGCGGCTCGGGCGGCTCAGGTGGCGCGGCGGCTCGGGCAGCTCGGGTGGTAGCTCGGCGAGGCCGCGTGAAGGCGGGGCCGGGGCCGGGAAGGGCGGGCGACGGGGCCAGCAGAGGCTGGGCCGGGGCCGGGAATGGCAGCGCAGGGGCCGAGAAGGGCGGTGTTGGGGCTGCAGAGGTAGGTGACTGGGCCAGCAGAGGCGGGGCCGGGTCTGGAAGGGCGGCGTCGGGGCCGGGAAAGGGCGGCGCCGGGGCCGTAAGGTAGGCGACGGGGCCAGCAGAGGCTGGGCCGGGTCGGGAAGGGCAGCGTCGGGGCCGAGAAAGGGCGGTGCGGGGCCGCGGGATAGGCGACAGGGCCGCAGAGCGGCAGATCGGGGCCGGGAAGGGCGGCGTCGGGGCCGCAGGGCTAGGCGACGGGGCCAGCAGAGGCAGGGCTGGGCCAGGAAGGGCGTCGTCGGGGCCGGGAAGGGTAGCGCCGGGGCCGCGGGGTAGGCGACGGGGTCGCTAGGGCGGCGGATCGGGGCCGGGAAGGGCGGCGCCGGGGCCGCAGGAGTAGGCGACGCGGCCGCTAGGGCGGCGGATCGGGGCCGCTAGGGCGGTGCGACGCAGCCGCTAGGGCGGCGCGACGGGATGGGGCCGCGAGGGCGACGCGACGGGGCCTCTAGCGCGACGCGACGGGGCCGCTAAGGCGGCGCGAGAGGGTCGAGAGAGGGGAGGGCGACTCGGGCAGGGACTGAGCGCGCTCCGGGCAGGAAAAAAAAGGTTTGAATTGGTGGGCCCTAAAAATAGTTCCCACGAGGGAACCTGCTCGATACCATGAGAAAACTGGAACGAGAATGAATGAACTATGAAACAGTTTGGTACAAGTACTAACCCTAATTGGGTTGTACCCCATATGGGCTACCCGACTAAAGCCTTCACAAATGCATAAGCTATATGTTCTGACATCGAAACTGTCCCAGAAGATTCTTTTCGAATACTTTGGGGACATGTTGAAAAGTGTCTCGAAAGACACTTTCGAGACTAAGTGAAATGTCCTGAAGGTGTCACGCCTAACTGACTCGAAAGTGTCTTTCGAGACACATTAGAGACATATCCAACCAGCACATTCAGGACTGTCCTCAGGAGAGATTCGAGACACTCAAGATACAAATTTTCAAGTTTAAAGCCCGTATGCATTATAAACACTACACTATTACACTGTTCCAAAAAATAGGCTATCGCACATATGCATCCAACTTCAACGTCCTTCAATATTTACACCACTTTGTGCATTATTTTTTGGTTGCTTCCAAATCCAGAGTGTATCAATCATATTTTATCCTAAACACACAAAACATCACATTGAATTTTTAATCAGTGAATGCCTCAGTTGATGCCTAACCAAATGTGATGCAGAAACAACTAGTATGCAACTTATTCATCCAGCAGTCCACAGAAGACGACGTAGATTGGAATGAAAGTTACAATTGTGAAAATAGGAAAACAGGAATGAATGAACTATGAATGAAAGCAGTACAAATATGAAACCCTAACTGGGTTGTACCCCCTATGGGATACCCCACTACAGCCTACACAGCAGTATAAGCTATAGATATGTTCTGACACACCCCCATAGGCAAAGTGGGGGAGAACAAGGGGTCACAAGACCAGTCAAGCAAGACAAAGCAAAGCTCAGGGTGGATCACAAAGTCACCACACAGTCCGAGCACAAGAGCAAGGCCAAAGGCCAGTTCACAAGCAAGAGTACAGACATATATATAAAGCTAGACAAGCAAGAGCAGGTATATATATATGTCACAGTACAAGTGAAGTCAAGAGGAGAGCAAGTGAGGCAAGACAGGCACAAGACCCAGCTGGGTGCAGAAGCGCTGATGGTCACAAGGCGCAAGTGCCTTGGTGAACACATCAGCAGTGTTGGCCTCAGAGGCCACGTACGCAAGTCGCAACTGACCACGCTGCTGCAGCTCACGAGCAAGGAAGTAGCGGAGAGCAATGTGCTTCGTTCTGTGCTCCAAGCGCTGCTCTCGACACAAGGCCAGCATAGCCTTGTTGTCTACGTACAGCACTGGAGGAGAACGAGGCGGCTCTCCAAGGTCAGTCAGCAGGTAGGTGAGCCAGCGAAGCTCCTGTGCAGCCATGGCCCCGGCGTATATCTCAGCCTCACAACTGGAGCCGAGAACCGAAGACGAGCGAGTAGACCGCCACGAGACAGAGCCGGAACCAAGGCTGAAGGTGTAACCCTGTGACGACCGCTGCGTAGCCTGGTCGTCAGCCCAAGAAGCGTCCGCGTGGCCGGTAAGGACCACTGGACTCCGCCCTCCAAGCACTAGCCCCATGCCCGACGTACTGCACAGGTAGCGCAATACCCTCTTCGCTGCAGCCATGTGCTCCGGTCTGTGTCTCCCAGGAGCAACATAGCGTGCAAGAATGCTCAGAGGGTATGCAAGGTCAGGTCGTGTGCAGGTCATCAGGTACATGAGGCAGCCAACAAGCTCCGCATACGGACCACTCGACTCTACGGACTCATCCGAAGGCAGAGCTGAGAGTGAGTGGCGAGTAGGCAGAGGAGTGGCCTGAGGCGAGGAGTACGTGAAGCCGAAGCGCTGAAGGACCTGCTGCACCATGTGTGACTGAGTCAAGGTAATGGTGCGGCGTGCTCTGTCCCGAGTGATCTGCAAGCCAAGGTAGCTGCGCAGTTCACCCAGGTCTGTACACGTGTGTCTCTTCAACAGCTCGGACTTCACGTAGGCGAGTCCAGCAGTGTCCGCTGTGGCAAAGACCAGGTCGTCGACGTACACGAGGATGTAGAACGGCGGCAGGGAAGTGTCGGTGCGAAGAAACAGCGACGGGTCAGCAGTAGAAGGAGCAAACCCAAGAGCCGCAAGCGTAGTCCTCAGTGTGTCGTGCCACTCACGCGGTGCCTGACGGAGACCGTAGACTGGCCGTCGGAGGCTCCACTGGGTGCCAGGAGGGAAAGTCCCAGTGAAGCCAGGTGGACGGCGAAGCCAGATCTCCTCGTGCAGGCTACCCTGCAAGAACGCAGTGCTGAAGTCGAGAGAGTGAAGCTCGTAGTCGCGCTGAGCGGCTATGTGCAGCAGCACCCGAAGAGTAGTCATCTTCGGGGTGGGAGAGAAGGTCTGAAAGTAGTCAACTCCCTGCCGCTGACTGAAGCCACGAGCAACGTACCGTGCCTTGAAGACAGGTGGAGAGCCCGGCGGCCGCTTCACCCTGAAGATCCACATGCCACTGACGATGTTCGCCCCAGGAGGGGGAACCGCGTCAACGTAGGTGCCTGTGGACTTCCAGGAAGCCATCTCTGCATCCATAGCTGCCTGCCACTGAGAGGAGTAGGGACCCTCTACGGCCTCCGCGTAAGAACGCGGAGTCGGGATGTCTAGTGCATCCGGGTCTCCCTCAGGGGCAAGCAGTACAGACGCGAGATGAGGTGAAGCAGCCGCTAGACACTGTAACTCCTCCTGCCTGTCCTCTAGGACGTCCGTGCCAAGAGCACACTCACCCCCGACGGACGGAGGACAGACAGACGCAGACTCAGCAACAAGACTAGCAGCGTAGTCGAGACGACAGCGAGCAGCAAAGTCGACGAGCTCAGCGACTAGAGCAGACGCAGCAGTGGACTCAAAAGAGGGGTCAGTGACGACAGTAGCAAGCAGACGCGTGACAGTGGGACTGGCAGCACGAAGAGAGTCCGACTCAGGGTCCGCAAGCGCAGGAAGAGAGGACTCAGGAGGAGAAGGCAAAGGGGCACGCAGAGGAGCAGTGGACGGACGTAAAGACATCCGGTGCGTGCCAGGGACAGGAGGAGGACGCTGACGCGAACTGCGACCACTAGCGCGAGCAGCACGAACAGGCGACGCGGGACGAGACGCAGGCTCACGACGCTCAGCAAGACCTCCAGTAGGACCAGTGTAAGGAGAGGGAGCAGGCAGTGGAGAGGAAGGCTCCAGTAGGGACTGCGACTGGACCGGCGGTGGACCCTCTACTGGAGGAGAAAGACCAAGAACCTGCTGAAGGAGCGGAACGAAGTACGGCCGAGGCCGCGCGGCAGCTCCAGACTCAGCAGGGACAGCACCAGCACCCTCAGCGACAGCACCAGCGCCACCCACACCTCCAGCGGCAGGACCAACAGCAGCAGGCTCAGCACGAACGCCCT